TGCATCTTATTTTGTATTATCAAAGTGATAGACTGAGTGCTGAGCAAGCCAGACAGTTCTGTCTGCTTATCTGTGGAGCATCAAAAAGCATTCTATTTGCACTTTAGTTTCAGAGCACGTTTGTCCTAGGAGAGGTTCTTTAAACATGATTGAAAGGTCAGATACTGACTATGCCATCCTGTCGCACACAACTTTAGAATGTATAGTTCTGAGAATCCTGCTTATAACTATTGGGGAGAAAATTCACTTGGGTCTAGATTCCCTCTATTATTATTTTAGAGCATCCAGAATTTGTCAAGATCCTCCTCTTCAACCGCACATTTGGTCATCTTCCTACACCCTCCCCACCGATCCAGGTCGAAACCCCCGGCTCAGGTCCAAATCTAAGAATGTTACCAGGCCTAAAATGGTTAGGTTACAAGGAAAGGCTGCGTAAACTTGGATTGTATTCCCTTGTATTCCATATTACTACCAAAACCCTATGAACCTCATTCTTGAAGGTGTAAATGGATCCAGCATCCACCACCATTTGAGGGAGAGAATTCCAGATTTCTACCACCCTTTGAATGAAAAAATGCTTCCTGATTTCAATCTTAAATGGCCTGGTTCTAATTTTGAGACCATTCCCCCTTGTTTTAGATTCCCTCACCAGAGGAACTAGCTTCTCTGTATCTACCCTATCGATTCCCCTTATCATCTCAAATCACCCCTCAACCTTCTAAACTCAAGAGAATATAATCCAAGTTTATGCAGCCTTTCCTCGTAATCCAACTCTTTTACGCCTGGTAACATTCTGAGATTTGGACCTGAGCCAGGGGTTTGGACCTGGATCGGTGGGGAGGGGGTGACCGAAGGCGTGGTCGGAGAGGAGGTTCTTGACAAATTCTGAATGCTCTAAAATAATAATAATCCTTGCGTTTGATATAGCACTTTTCACATTTTCTAGACGTCTCAAAATGTTTCTAAAGTGAACTGACTGTATATTTGTGGGCGAAACGCGGCAGCCAATTGCGCACAGCAGTGTCCCCAAAACAGACGTGGATTGAAGTGACCAATTTTCAATTTTAGTTTTCTTTCTTGAGGGATTATTATCAGGCATGTGGAGTAAGGAAACTTGCCCAAGGTTTCGCCCTGCCAGAAATCAAACCCAGGTCTCTCGCTTGCAAGGCGAGTGCTCTAACCACTGAGCTACATAAATAGAGTAAATCTAGACCCAGGTGGAATTTCTTCCCTTTGTTTAAACTCAAAGATTGGGGTCTAATTTGCAATGCTTCAAGGCGGATTTCCTAATCGGAATGTGTAATCATCAAGTTTCCAAAACATTGAATGTAATAAAAATGTCATTACAAGCACACATCAACACAGTCACTGCAGTTAACAGCAAGAGGAACTTCTGGTTCCATTTTTTCACCATCTTTTCTCGTTTGATCAGTGTTAGTCTGGAGTAGCCCCTCATCATTATTAACTTTGGACTCTACTAGGTCCAGAAGTGAGACATTTTATATAAATACGGGATGCTCTAAAATAATAATAATCCTTGCATTTGATATAGCACTTTTCACATCTTCCAGATGTCTCACACGCTTCTAGGACCAAAAGTGAGACATTTTATACAACAATCTGGTACATACAACAGTATTCCATCACTGCATAGTTTGTGACTAAGGAAAACACAGCAGTTCTGAAGGGTGAAAAGATAAGTCATTTTTATTTCAGGATCCTTACCTGCCAGATTTTCCAGCCATGGTCAGCACCCAGCATAGAGCAAATGTGATTATCAAGATAGTGTTTGAGAGTTTACACTCTAGCTAGAGTGGAGGTGGGTGGGACACATCGTGCTCAATCTTTCTCAAGAGTTCTGAACTGATTTTCTCAGTGCTCAAGATAACACACTTTGCATCCATCATATTGTGCAGTCCTGTCAATATCTGTCTAGAGTGATTTTCTCACTGGTTCGTTTCAGAATGGGAGTTAGCCACCTCGAAGGAAGGGTAGTGATATCAAGAAGAAACAGTGACTTCATGTTGAAGTAAAATGAAGCAGAATTAACAGAGATAGCTCATGTAGATTTGTCAGACATTGTCAAAAATCTGAGAGTGCTGTAAATTTATTACAACTGAAATATTAATAAATACATTTTCTACCTTTATAAAGCAGAAGTGCAATGTAATGTGCACCTCTCAGACACACATGTACAGCTTTTTACATAGTATTTATTCTGAAGTAAATATCTATATTTGTAATTCCACTTTAAATTACCAAAGCTCTTAGTATCTATTAATTGAGTTAAATACTGTATTTACTTGATTCTATTGCACAGGTCTTTTGAATGAATGAAATTTAATGCAGAGAAGTATGAAGTGATGCGTTTGGGAGAAAGAATGAGAGGCAATACACACTAAATGGTACAGTTTTAAAGGAGGTGCATCGGTGGATATTAATTTAAAAAGAAAATAATTGGAGGCCATGGGATAAGAGCAGGGCGGTGGGACTACTTGATAGCCCTTTCAAAGAGCTGACACAGGCACGATGGGCCGAATGGCCTCCTTCTGTGCTGTAGGATTCTATGATTGTTATATGTAGCCCAGAAATCGAGGGTCACCTTAAGATCAAAGGCACTTTAAAATTGCAGGCAATTGCAGGTCGATTTGGGAGATTTCAATCTCTGCATTAGTGTCAACATACTTCTAACCCAAGCAAGTGAAGCAGCGGGATGCCATGATGCCTGACTCCCCACGCGCCCCCAACACTGCACAGCCTGAAGTACGGCAGAATGGTTATTTAGTGGTTATCTCTGACAGGAAACAACTGGATAAAACAATAGAAACATATCACAATCCAACAAAACATTGTTGGGGAGAAATTCCATCGAGGTCTAGATTTACTTTATTTATGTAGCATTTTAGAGCATGCAAAATTTGGTAACGGTATTAAACAAAGACGTCCTGGATCACCGTGGCTATGCTTTGGTGACAGTTATTTTACTCAACAAACTGCAGTTTGACTTTGGATTTCGGATATATCCTATATTCAGATATAATATATCCTATATTCGGATATAATATATCCTATTCGGATGTAAAATATCCTTTGGATATATATCCGGATATAATATGAAGGCAGCAAATCAACCAACCTCAGCGTATGGGGTTGAAAAGCCAGTTCATAGAAAAACGTGGGGTCATAGGAAGAATGTAAGAGTTGCTCAGTCAGAGAGGCAAGGACAAAAAGATCAGTATAAACGGATTCAAGAAATCACAAGAGGTTAGGATGAAGGCAGCCCTTCGGCCCATTTGATCTCATCCTACCAGAATACCCACTCTGCCATCCTCATCAAGCTGCTTTTGAAATGAGTCCAGTCATCTGGACTGACCCACCTTCCTGGGAACCTGCTCCATTTATTACTTACCCTTGAAGTAAAGAAATGCTTCCTGATGTCTTTCCTAAAATTGCTTTTTGCAACCCTAAACCTGTGTCTTATACTGATCTGTCATTGCTCCCTAAAGTATTGTTGCGGAAGCTCGTACAGTACTGTCTGATCTAACAGGGATGAGTTGTTCCTTTCCAGTTTGCTTCTAAATCACTCTTAGTGGGTTTTTACCTTCCAATCACAGACCAACTTAGTGAATCATGTGTTACAGGCTACCTACAGAAAGGAATGTCCTGACAATACTCAGTCATTAAAAGATAGATAGGGTGGTCTTTGCAACAATCACAAGTCACAGAGTAAAGTGTCACAGTTGATGGAAGGAGCAGATTGTTATTATGTTACAAATTAGAAAAAAACAATGTTTCGATACTATAATATATATAATAATCCTTGCATTTGATATAGCGCTTTTCACGTCTTCTAAACGTCTCAAAGCTCTTCACAGAATATACTGTAAAATGAATGTAAAGTGAATTGACTGTATATTTGTAGGCGAAACGCGGCAGCCAATTGTGCACAGCAGTGTCCCACAAACAGTTGTGGATTGAAGTGACCAACTTATTATTATTGTTTTTTTCTCTTGAGGGATTATTATCAGGCGTGTGGAGTAAGGAAACTTGCCCAAGGTCTCGGGTCTCTCACTTGCAAAGCGAGTGCTCTAACCACTGAGCTACAGGACTCCACACGGATACCACTGTATTTGTGTTGCTTATTACCGACGTACAGAAATTAAACAGCAGGTTCAATGAAGGAAGGTTATTGTTTTTAGCAACAGGAACAGGAAACTGTGCTTTGGACTAGCCATGCTCATCTTTACACCCAAACATACATGATAGCGACCAGCATATTAGACGCCAGGGAATTATCGCAGGTATTTCACAATAATAAGCACTCAGAGATGCCAGCCTGTGTGAGAGATACTATATGAATCCAAGATGTTATATTTTGAACAGAATAATCTTTCTGCAAAATGTCCAAAAATATCTTGATATTATATTCTTAAATTCATTACATTTCTGAGGGTCAGAGTTTTTTTAAAATTCACAGCAATGGCACAGACTTTACTTATAAAGTACAAGACTGTTTCCTTAAGCAAAGTGAACTGACACAATTTAATGGATTCTCATATTACTCATCTCACCAGAGGTTTCTTATCAAGATCAGTGCCCTTCCTGTTTTGTACAGCTGGATGGCCCTTTGCGAACTGAACCAGTCACAGTAAACAGGAATGGTACAAAGTCATTTCTTTGTTCCTGAAAACAGGAAGTTTTACAACATGTGCCCAGAAGCATTTTTTGCTGCTGTTATTTGACTGCTTTGGGCAGCACAATCAACCAGTCAGTTATCCCACAAAGCTCTTTCTGGTAGAACATAATTACCCAACTAGAAGTGAAAATCTGCGACATTTTGTTCCTCGCTGCTTGGTTCCAAAAGCACTTGTTTACTGCAGCAGTAACATCAGCCACTGGTGAGATTTCCAAGAATCGTGTAGATATGGGAAGTGGAATATATAATTGTGATTATTTTTTAGAAGTTTATCTTATAATACATCCTTTCCCCCTTCTTTCAGCTGCATGGTGTACAATGAAGATGGACTGAACCTCAAACGAATTTCAATCTCCACTTTGACATTTTTCACTAAATATTTTTCATTGTCAACAATATTTTTTGCTACTCAGTCACATGGGATGCAAATGGTCGAGTCCGCTGGATGAACTGGGTGATTTGGATTTGGGGTAAACTTCTGATTCCTGGAGCCTTTTTAGAATAGATGATTCGTGGCTCAGGGAAGCAAGAAGCCTGGACGTGATAAAAGCATGAACGAACCTCTCACTAGTTCCACAAATGCGTATTAATTAAAATGTTACTCTGCGTTGAACAATATTAGTTGTATAGCACAATAAAACTGAATAAACATCTAGAAGCTCAGGAAGTTCAGAAAACTGATATTTTAGTTGCATTCAAATAAACAGTTTTGCACTATAAAACTTCCTTAGTCTCTTAATTTCAAGAAACAGATGATCCACTTATAGGGAGAAGATATTGATGCATCTAAAATATAATTAGCAGTAATCTTTATAACAATTGTCTCCAAGATGGCACCTGCTATGTGTCTTTGTTCTATAGCTTTTATATCTTGTACGATATACAAATTCAGATGCATAAACTACTTTCACCTCAATTTTTAAAATTATTTGTTTCTCTATTTTGTATCACATTGTAAAGTATTTTATATTTATCACATTGTATTAATTGAATATCTTTATTGTGACAAACTTGAAATGTATAGAGAAAAGCTTGAGCTGTTTTTGCTAAATACGATAATTAAAATTTATTTTTCTACAAGCTCTAAAATGAGTGTGAAAAAGCTTGTCTCATTACTACACAATGATGTTACTTCATGATGATGTTTGTTTTTGTATCTTTTTAGCACTTATAATAGGAATGTATTTCTGTGAAGAGCACATCAGGAATACTTAGCACAAATATTAAGGTACCATCTGACAAACCAACCAGAGTTTGATGATGATCGTATTTGAATGTTCCCAAATCACCCTGAATGTTAGGATTGTCTTTGTAATAAGTTTGGCCCATTTTCTACTGTTTCATTATGAACAAGATCATCAAAGCATCTCCAAATATCCACTCACTCTCCCCCTCTAAAGGTTCACACATAATTTCTTCTGTCATTATCTAGCTGCACCTGGGACATTATACAAGTAGAGTAACAATTTAAATTTACATTTATATTGAGCCTTTCATATCAGGAGGCAGTCCCAGGGCGCTAACAAACCTGGCTTGGCACCCAAGCACATCAAGAATCTGGGTGCAACAATGAAGAGCAACATAACAAATGAAAAAGCAAAGTTTCAGAAATATCAGAACGAGAATCTTAAGAGTAAGGAAGGTCTGAGGGCATTACACATGGAGTTTGAACTGCTTTTAATTACAATACAATTCAGAATTACATTTCTAAAGCGCCTTTCACATTGGGCGGACGTCCTGAGGCACTGAACAGTCAGGGATGGTCAAAGAGGAGGCTCTCTGAAGGCATGGTCGAAGAGGAGGGTTTTGAGGCATGCCAAGGGAGAGAGTGAGGCGAAGGGAATGTGGGATGGAGTTCCAGAGGTTGGGGGCAGAGAGGCTGAAGGCCCGACTGCTGATGGTGGGGCGGGAGACACGGAGCAGACCGGAGCCTACTGAGCAGAGGGAGTGGGCATGTTGATAAGAGGTTAGCAGGTTGGAGTGGTAAGGAGGGGGCAAGGCTATGGAGGGCCTTGAAGGTGAGGATGAGAAATTGGAACTTGATCCTCTGAGGGATGGGACTATTAACAAAATAGTACATATTTACATTTGGTAATTTAACATTCAATCAAGCTCTACATGGAGAGTGCTGTAGCTCAGTGGTTAGAGCACTCGCTTTGCAAGCGAGAGACCTGAGTTTAATTCGAGACAGGGCGAAACCTTGGGCAAGTTTCCTTACTCCACACGCCTAATAATAATCCCTCCAAAACCAAAAACTATAATAAATTGGTCATTTTCAATCTATGACTGTCTGTGGGACATTGCTGTGCGCAATTGGCTGCCGCGTTCGCCCACAAATATACAGTCAATTCACTTTACAGTGTGTTCTGTGAAGCGCTTTGGGACGTCCTCCCGACGTGAAAAGCGCTATATCAAATGCAAGGATTATTATTATTATTATTACTACATGCAATACCAAAGTATGCAAAAATTGCTAATAAGAACTCACTGACTTACTTACTTAGGTGGAGTCCTGTAGCTCAGTGGTTAGAGCACTCGCTTTGCAAGCGAGAGACCTGAGTTCAATTCCAGGCAGAGGGCGAAACCTTGGGCAAGTTTCCTTACTCCACACAGAGCCTAATAATAATCCCTCCAAAAAAACAAAACAATAATAAATTGGTCATTTTCAATCTACGACTGTTTGTGGGACATTGCTGTGCGCAATTGGCTGCCGCGTTCGCCCACACATACAGTCAATTCACTTTACAGTATATTCTGTGAAGCACTTTGGGACGTCCTCCCGACGTGAAAAGCGCTATATCAAATGAAAGGATTATTATTATTATTACCTCGACCAATTTACAGCACTGCACCTGGGGCAATCAGATTAAGACAATAATGCTTAGTGAAAGCAATAGACTGTTCCTACAACTTTGAGAAACCATCCATATGTTTGTTCCAGATGTGGCCACTGCCTAAATAGTTTATGCTCTGACTTTGTCTGGTGGGTCCTGCCCTCCTAGGAAGTAATAAGAAAATTTATTCTGCTGCGCACTTCATTAATCTTGGTTTAATAATGCACTTGCCAAGCTTTTGTTACCAGAGAATAATAATTGCCGAACTTAGTAGAAACATTACATCTGCACAGAAAGATGAAGCTCTGTGCACAACAACCAATAATTAATTCTGATCAAATTCAACACCAACAAGATTACATTTGTATAGTGCCCTTTCACGTCAGGAGGACGTCCCAAGGTGCTGGACAGAGTACAGCATTTCAGGCCCGAGCTGGGGTCAGGGTGGGAGAAGGGCGGGGAAGGTGGGTGGCCGATGACATGGTTGAAGAGGAGGGTTTTGAGGTGGGACTTGAAGGAGGCTAAGGAGGGGGTGAGGCGGAATGACTGGGGGATGGAATTCCAGAGGTTGGAGGCAGAGTGGCTGAAGGTTCTCCCGCCAATGGTGGGACGGGTTGGTCGGGGGACGTGGAGCAGGACAGAGCCGGCTGAGCGGAGGGATTTAGGAGGTCGCAGATTCAAATGGCAGAAACTAAAACAGTGCACCTCAAATATAAAATTAAAGGTACTTTTGAACACTTTCTGAATTTGCATAGAACACAGATAATGATAATAAGTTGAATTTTTATAAATTGTTTTAAATAGCGAATTTTCTAATGTGATCCTCGCTGTACTTGTCTGATCATTCACTAGATCCAACTAATTCAAAACATCTTTAAATCTCACTTTAAAATCTACACCTGTGACCTTGTGAAGTCACGTAGATGAAGGGTGCAATACTATAATGCAAGTTGTAGTAGTACATAGCTCATTTGACCAAAATAGGTGTTACCAAATTGAAATGTCAATATATTTTACGGCAATATCGTCATTTAATACAACCTATATTCACGTTGCGAGGATGTTTCAAAGCATTTAACAATGCTTCATTATATATTGGCAAATATATATTAGCCCAGGAGGGGTTCAGATACACCAAAATGATACCAGGGATTAAAGGGTAAAATTATAAGGACAGGTTGCCTAAACCCGGTCTATTCCGTTGAGTTTAGAACGGATAATGAAGGGATTCAAATGTAAATACAGAGAAACTATTTCCTCTAGTGGTGGAATCCAGAATAAGGGGGCATAATCTTAAAATTGGAGTCAGGCTCTGATTTCGGAGTGAAATCAGGAGCATTTTTTCACACAAAATGTAGTGGAAATCTCTGCCCCCAAAGTTGCAGCAGCAAATAGCCCATTTGACCAAAATAGACAAGTTACCAAAATCAAAATGTCATTTGAATGGATGCTGGATCCATTCAAATTTTCAAATCACTGAGGTGGATAGATTTTTGTTATGTCAGGATATCAAGGGACATGGGGCAAAGGTGAGTATTTGAAGTTGAGGTATAGATCAGCCATGATCTAATAAATGGCGGAACAGGCTCGAGGGGCTGAATGGCCTACTCCTGTTCCTATGTTCCTAATATTTGATGGATGCTCAAACAGAGTGGGAGCTGAGGGGAATGGAAAGGGAAATATGATTGAAAACATGATCAAAGAGGAACATTTTGAGATGTGCCTTGAACAAAGGGAGGTAGGGAGCAAGTCAGAGGGATTCCAGGGAGGAGTTCCGGAGAGCAGGGGCAGAATGGGAGGTGGGACTGAGAAGGCAGGAGATGTGAAATAGGCCAGTATTTTCTGAGGAAAGTGACCTGGTTGGTAGGGTTGAAGAGGGTCGCAGAGGTTGGGTTGGGCGAGACTGTGGAGGGATATGAGGTGAGAACAAGTATCTTGAACTTAATCCGCTGGAGAACAGGAGCCAGTGCAGGATGGAGGTCATAGACAGAACCTGGTGCGGGAGCGAACACAGGCTGCAGAGTTCTGGATACTCTACAGTTTGTGCAGGGAAGAGCTGGAAAGTCTGGTGAGCATTTAACAACTTTTTTCCCAATTGATTTGAATGGACACCACAACATGAACAGATTCAAGGACAATTATGAAGACAAGTAGGTAGTAAGACTACACAACCCAATAGTGGATTGATGTAGTACTTTATTTAAGCAGTCTGTAAGAAGGAAAATAATGTGCATCCCTATCATATACATTTATGTGTAAAAATACTAAGGATGTACAGTGTACAAAAACATTTTGTTGCAGTTTTTCAAATCCTTGTGGGTCATATACTTAAGGAAATAAACAGTTAAATCTTACTGACAGTAATACAGTTCACTAAGGTTTAGTCCCTTCTGCTTAAAATCCTTAACCATATGACTAGATCTTTATGGACCTAATGATAGAACTAGGAAGGTCAAGAACTTTCACAAATCCTAGGCTACACAGAGGCAAAATTAATTACCAGTTTAAGAATTTAAAATAAATACTTTACATTTTTCATGCTCATCTGTAATGCACTACTAGTAGCAGATACAGGAAGTTCTATTTTAGACAGTACAAATAGTAGCAGCAAAGTGTTTTACATTGAGGTGTAATATATAGACCCTGCAGTTAGTAGAGGACCTCACCTTGTCACCTTGCCAGTATACTGTAATAGCAATGCATGGCCTCAACAAGAATGGTCAACCTTGTGAAGCTGCAAATAAGGTGAATACGTGTTATAGTCATAAAAGCATTGAGATTCAAAATGCCACAGGAATGTGACAGTAAATGGATTAGTGTGTAAAGCAAAGCTGAAGAATCTTCACAAAAAGGGATGGCCTGTTTGCCCAAAGATGGTTGCAGTACAAGAGGGCATACTCAGTAAAGGTCAGTGCAAACTGAATCCCCGAAGATCTAGACTTTGCACAGTAAGTATCTGAAAATTGGTAAGATAGGCAAAGCACAAATCTTCCTATGGATTGACAGGTTGAATAACCTTGTACAAAAAAAAAACAAATAAAAAGAGACTAGCACTGTAAAATTTTATCAAACACCATTACCTCTAGACTTCCAGTAAGAACTGTTCAGTGGCGTAGAACTTCTCTGATACATACAATCATTACTACTAAAAATAAATACTACAGCTGTTTAACGTCTGTACATTCAAAACACTGGGGGGAAAAAAAAAGCTAATCCACAAGTTTACAGGCAAACATTACTGTTCACCAACCTAAGTTGGGCAACACAAATATTCTACCCACATAAATTTGGTGAAAAGCATAAGTCTCTTAACATTATGCCTGTCTACATTCTTCAGCCATCATAAAACATATACAGGCAGAGGTGCAGAGTATCCATGAAAGTCATAAAAAAAAATTCTGCGATTGCACTTGATAAATCTATAATTTGTCTGCTGTACTGGCAAAAACCAAGTCTTCAGCTACATGGGTTGGTACTTTCATTGAAAATGTTGACAGGGATTGAGTCCTGGCAACTGCTCACAAGTCCCCATCAAGCCAGCTGTTAACCACACTCATTTCTTCAGTGATATGTCTAACAGAAACTTGCATACCTGTCATATATCACAAACCAATTCTTGCTATGACCAGCAGAAATGAATACAACAAAAGGAACACAAATCTCATTAGTTACTTAAAATTCATCTGGGTTTTTTGTCATCATTATTATGAAATTTTGTCAAATGCTTTCTTCAGCTTCTATTAAAACTTGGTTTCATTTACAGGCTGAAATGCATAAATGCTGCATCATGTACAATACATCCTATTAGGACTTCATATGTTTAAAAATACTCTTTGCAGTACAATTATGTCAAAATAGTAGGAGGTAACAGCTTGAATCCTCAGACTGACATTTAGATTCATGCAAAACATTCAACTCGAAATGATTCCTGAAGATGCCCTGCGTCTGAAATCAAGTATAGTTCAAACTCCTATACTGTTCAGGAATGATTTCAAGTGATACACCATGATGACAGTTGAGCAGCAAAAAACAAAATAACCACTCTATTCTCTTCCACTGGCAGAGTATGAGAACTGGGGGAAGTGTGGCCTCCTCTCATTGTCCATGCAATCCATGCCGTCCTCATCATCTGTAAACAAATGAAATCAGAAAGCTTGTAACAGACACTCAAATCCAGATAAGATTCATTTATGACCGTTCACTGTATAATTTAAATCTTAACAGTTTACAGTGTTGCTGTCCCTATCATTGGATATCCCATTGCAATGATTAATCAGGTAAATAGAATCATAGAATCTTACAGCACAGAATGAGGCCATTTGTCCCATCGTGCCTGTGTCGGCTCTGTGGAAGAGATATCCAATGAATCCCATTCCCCCACAAGTAGAATTAATTAACCTCCAAACTACTGCATTCATTTTCCCACATAATGCTGTACATCAAATAGGAATTTATTTTAGCAATAGATAAGTATTGGCAAAACTTAGTCAATTATATTATAAAGTAAAATGTAAAACCAACAATTTCATCATGAAGAGAACTCCGCACATTTCATCCTTCCATCTAATTTGTCAACAACAACAAAATTACACTGTATAGCGCTGTTCACATCAGTAGGACGTCGCAATGCGCTGGACAGTCAAGAGTTTCAGACCCGAGCTGGGGGTTGGGTTTGGGGAGGGTGGAGGCCAGTGGGGGGATGCAGGGTGATCGAAAGCACGGTCGAAGAGTTTTTGGTCAAACCAAAATATCCGATATTTGTACATTTTTATTTTGGTCACACCAAAATATCCAATATTTGTACTCATGAGAACATTGATGCAGAAACACGAGCTTTTAAAAGCAAAACCAATACATAAATAAAAGGATTATAGGTTGTGTTGAACCTTTCAAAAACTATGAATCATATTTCATACTGGATCTTTCATCTTCCATATTAGACATTTAGCACAGTACATGTACAATCAAGAATTAAGCACTTCACAAACTAATTATTGGACATGTATAAAAGCGTTGCAATGCTCACAATAGGCAAATATGTTTAAGCATGACTTCTGTATAAATAATGCATTTATACAAATTGTAAGAAATAAAACTCTTAATCGGTTAATCAAGTCAGCACCTTAGGTCAGTTTTCAGATATTTTTATGTACTCAAAAAAATTTGTACAGAATGTTTTGATACAATCCTTCAAAAGGAAGCTTTGAAACAATAGGCAATGAGGTTAAAAATAGCTTGTGTCCTTCCTTTGACTTCTTGTGTTGCATCATTTCAGATTTGCTCTTTCTTCTCAGTGGCTGGAACTCAGTGAAATGCTGCTCTCAGCTGAACATGTGTGTCCGTTACGGCACAGTTTGGCTTCACTCTAAAAAGTAAGGAATGATCACCTTTACCTCAATGTGGAAGGCAACATTTGTAATTGGGTTGGTAAATATATTTATAAGTTTATGGAATATATATTTTACCTCTTTGTGAAATTCAGGTCGCGGACGGTGGAGTATAGTATTCGTGTATTCGTAAATCTTCCTACATGCATCGTATAGTGTAAAAGTGATACGCAAAAAGCATAAATTGGAGTACATTACATTGCATAAGCAACTTTATAAAAAGCATCACCTGATCTTCTGTCTATTTCTCCAAAGCACTGACTGTAATAAACATTACTGTTTTGCCAATGATGCTGTCACGTCTAAAAGCAGCCGTTGCCTGGTGTACATCACATTGTGCTCGTAGCAGGTACTGTAGTTTGTTAAGATGAAGAAATGCAGTGTAAAAATATAATCCTGATTTTGGAGAGGCTGGATCGGACAAAGAAACTCCTCTTGGTGTAGTAGCGAGTGTCTTCAGGTAGATTCTGTATCATAACAGAACTTGCAAAGTGAATAATGATAAGGCAATATACGTTATCTCACAAATAGGCAATTTTTATACTGAGTGGGATGCTCTCTCTGAAGTGCAGTTGCCCTTAGCATAACAGCAATGAATCATCCACACAAAGTTGCTGAGATGGAAAATGTGCAGACTGAAATGTTTTAAGCAGGTGATCCAGTAGCAGACGATCATGGCCCCTGTCCTTGGCATTGTTGTTGAAGCACCAGAACTTCATTAAAAACCTGGAACAGAATATTGGTTTCCCCAAGAGGGGCATGGAAATGAATTGGCTGCTGGACCAATATAAATGAATTCTTGGTTTCCTCTGTAGAGCAAATCAGAGCTGAAAAAATAGGTCATCCTTAACCCAGGACCTGGGCCTCCAGTGAACTGATTGCTTCCAATTAGTCTCCTTCCACTGACAGATTGAGTAACATGAAAGCCACTTATTCTCACTGTCTGTGCACAATGAGAGTGATTCTTCACTTTATTTCTTCAATTTTTAACATAAGTTTTATACATCCTTCATAAGTACCCTCACATTTATCATCTATTTGGGAGAAAAAGATTCTTCCACGTGCCACTGCCGACATGATAAACACTAGATCCTGTCCCTAACAGTATTCTTTGAAGCCAGGTAACAAACACAGAGGACATTTTACCATATGTAATGCATATTAATGCAGTTAGTTTGTTCATTTTAATTTTTTCACCTTCATACGGTCTCTATAACACTTACCAAATGAGAAAATGAGCCAGTTAGGTACTGTCAACGTTGCTCTCTAGTCAGACAGCAGGAAGTGAAGAGCAGCTTGGAGTGACTGGCCTCAGATTTCCCCTTAACACCATTGCTGGTTCTGGGAACTCACCATTTCACTACACTGCATCAAGGTACCAGAGCTCGATAATTGAACAATTATTTAATAACATTTATTCAACTGATTTAAAACAAAAATATATTTCCACAATTGGCTACCAACACCAATGTGGAATCCTGTAGCTCAGTGGTTAGAGCACTCGCTTTGCAAGCGAGAGACCTGAGTTCAATTCCAGGCAGGGCGAAACCTTGGGCAAGTTTCCTTACTCCACACAGAGCCTAATAATAATCCCTCCAAAACCAAAAACAATAATAAATTGGTCATTTTCAATCTATGACTGTTTGTGGGACATTGCTGTGCGCAATTGGCTGCCGCGTTCGCCCACAAATATACAGTCAATTCACTTTACAGTGTGTTCTGTGAAGCGCTTTGGGACGTCCTCCCGACGTGAAAAGCGCTTTTTCAAATGCAAGTATTATTATTATTAATACATTTTATATAGCACCTTTCTTACATTTAATATTTATTTTTAATACACAGTCACTCCAGTTTACAATATATTCAGTGAAGCGCTTTGGGACATCTCAACCATGTGATAAGGCGCTGTATCAAATGCAAGGATTCTGATTATTATTCATGTCAGGAGGACGTCTCACAGAGCTTCACAGGATTACTGTAAAGTGGAGTGACTATTTTTGTGACTGAAGGTAGCAGCTAATTTGTGCACAGCAATATCTCACAAACACTCATGAAGTGAATCACCAATTTTATTTGGAGGGAATATTGACTAGGACACCTTTTTGATTAGTGCCATGGGATCTTTAATGTCCACCTGGACAGGCAGATAGGACCTCAGTTTAAAATCTCATCTGAAGAACAGCATCTCCAACATAGCAGCGCTCCCTCAGCAGTGCACTGGAGTGTCAACTTAGACTGAGTTCCGACATAGGGCTTGAACCCACAACCTTCTGACTCATTGGCAATTGAGTAATTCAAGAGGCAACTAGAAAATAAAAATGAGTATTAAGAAAGGAACTGAAACTGGAAAATTAAATTAATAAAATTAGAGAGTGATTTAATGATACAGGAAACAGTGGTGCAATACTGTTTTTTTCTGAAAATTTCTATGCATTACAACTTTCTCAGCTGCTTCTTCCAGTTCACAGAGCCAGTGTTGTTCAACTCTCACCTCTCTTTAAGCATTTCATCTGGTTCTTGACCGAAAATTCTTTCCTCCATATGCACATCACCTACCTCTGGCGTGATCTGACCCGCAATGCAACCAAAATTCTCTTTCACGCCTATGTCACTTCCACACTTGATTTCTCCAACACCCTGTTTTTTGCCCTCCCCAACTCAAACATTTTACAAGCTCCAGATCAACCAGAAATCTGCAGCCCGCATTCTCTCCTGTACCAGGTTCTGCAAGCCCTTCACCCCCATCCTTACCAGGATCCACTAGCTCCCCAGTGGATTGACTTTAATATTCTTGTTCTAATCTTCAAATGCCTCTACACCCTTACCCAATCCCTACTTCTATGATCTTTAGTTCTATCCCTATCCATTCCGTCCAACCCATGCTTGCTTCCTGTTCCCACCTCCCCCACCCACCATTGAACAGCGGCTTTCAGCCCACTGTGTGGAATTCTCTCCCTAATTCTGGCATCTTATATTTGCTTTCAAATTCCACCTAAAACTTCTCTCTTGTCCCATTTTCCTCTTTCCCACCCCCCTCAATGCCCATCTTGCGTAGGGTCCTTCTGCGCCTGGAATATAGGTAGATTTGCTGAGCTCAACATAGACAATGCTCATACAACTTTTTTTCAAAATACATTTCTAATTGGTCACCTTACTCGGATAACAATAATCAAAACAATCCAAAATAGACATCTCCTGTAAACATGGGAAACAGTTAATTCAGAATTTAAAAAATGCATCTTTTTGGTAGGTTTCATTAAGACTGAATTGTCTACAAAAGCAATGCTCTTGCCAGTGCAGACCTTGGCTGGCTTTACAGTCAAATTAGCAGCAGCAAAAAAAAACAGGTTGCTGCCATCTTAGCTCCCATATGCATGTTTAACAGAACATGCATTCAATCAGCCATCTATTCTCATCACAGTGAAATGAAGCACAGCAAAGGCCTTGTACAACGTGTTGGGTTTACATTGTTTCAAAATGTTCTTTATTCCATCTTACTGCTTTAATAGAACTTTGATTGAAAGCAAATCCCATTAATACTTACTCTGATGTAAAAGTTAAATATATAACATTGAGTCTAAATCTTAAATAATAATCCTTGTATTTGATTTAGCCACTTAACATGTTGTTGAAATGTCTCAAAAGTGCTTCACAGGATGGCACTGTAAAGTATAGTGATTGCGTACTTGCAGGCAATCACAGCAACCAATTTGCGCATAACAGTGTCCTACTAACAGCCGTGAAATGATTGATCAGTTTTATAGGCAGAGTATGTGGTAGTCAAGGTTTTCACAACCATGGCAATATCCTTTGTTTACCCATTCATTTGTTGGTGAAATAACCCATAGTACAAATAAAGGTAGTTTCACAAACAGGAAATAGCTCCTCTTAACAGTCAGACCTACGAGTCAAACCATTTTACTTCTCACTGCATTTTATTGAAGTGAATACAATTTAAAAATTTCACATATTTGAACAATAACTTTTAAAAATACTTGAACAATTATCATTGCATTTCGTCAAAGACTCTCTGAAGGTCAGTGAAAACATCAGTTCATCTTCATTTTTTTTCCCCCATCACTCCACAAAGACAGTATCAATTTGATTTCAAAACCCAAAAAAAACATTTACAGTGCAGTTCAGAAACCAATATTCTGAGGCAAATAGCACCATTCAGATTTAGAGTGTCATTCTGTCACACTCTCTTACTTTGCATGTTTACTTACATTTTTCAGGGGGAGTTATTGTAATGGTCTGAGCTGTAAATTCTTCATCAAAATATCGAGTATCTGTCTCCGATGACACCTGAGGCTTGAAAGGAGGTAAAAGCTGTAAGAGTGGAAAAGCAAAATTATAACTACATAGTGAAAATAAAGGGATGTTCAGAGTGGTAGACATCTGCACTATTCAAATCTATTGTGCCTTTTCAAAGCATGCTTATTACACATACCAAGACACTCTGGTATTAATTATAAACCAATTCTTGTTAGACAGCAGCAAGCATCTTCTCAGAATGAAGCTCAATTTTTAAATCACTGCACAATAGCATAACTACCTGATTAGCCAAAAGAACAAAGATTTATCAAATGCAAGAATTATTATTATTACAGTGCAGGTGAAGCTGTAGTTTTAGCAATTAGTAGGACAATCTAACACCCAACCAACAGTATACAGAAATGACATATAAAAAGGGAGGATTGCATAGTTATCATAGTTAGGAAAGTCCTAAGAAAACACAAATGCTGTCTCCTCCTTAATCACTGCAACTACTGTCTGAGAATCCAGATTTATTCCAGGTCTCGGGTCAAGGATCTATGTTAGCATTGGAATCATTTAGGATAATCTCTTAAAATTCAATTGATCTACCAGAAATGTTTCCCGAGTATATTTTAAAATAGTTTCCTCTACACATCAGTTTTAGTAACGAGTAAGGTTTAATTACTTCTTTTAAAATAATTAGATGAAATGTCTTTGCCATTGGTTGGTTTCATTTTATCACTAATCCAATAAATCTAGGCTAGAATCCAGTTAATGAAATGGTGGTGCTTCCAAATTGTAGCAAATCCCATCTAAATTATAGTGAAGAAACATTACAAAGCCGTGGCTGTCAAATTCATAAAATTTCCACCAGCACTATAATGAGGCTGTGATAGCTGTTTAACTGTCCATTAGCCACTTTCCTGAATGCCACAGCATGTGAAGCTACACTGGTGGCAACCTAATGACTCGGATATTGGCCATTTTAGCACGAGAGCTAGCTGGCGCTCGGGAAGCAAGTGATCCAGCTATGCACAAGTGTAGTTAGTGGGGTCCACAACGCAACCGGGCTATAAGTGAATCAGAGCTGTACAGGAATAATTATAACAGGACTGAATGGTTCCACCTTTGTTCTTCTCTGTTTAATGAAGGCAATAATCTGTATACTGGACACAGCATTTCTCTGGCATCTCATATTAATGGCTATCTGTGATGTGTGAGGGTAGACGCTGAATGTCAAGAGATTATTTGTCCATTAGGTCATCCCAGTTAAGCTCCATCTTATCTTCCCTTAACATCAAAACAAACTCTTTCCAACAGGGCTAACTGGATACTAAAAACAAAAGAGTACACTGGCTAACCTTCTGCCTCTCCCCCCTAAGCCAGGGTCACTGAGTTCACTCCTCTTACCCACGTTGAGTTAACAACAACAAGATTACATTTGTATAGCGCCTTTCATGTCGGGAGGATGTCCCAAGTACCTGGAGAACCTATAAAGGCACTAAAGAGACTAAAATAACAAGAGATCCAAAAATACTTTCCACTCCAGCGTTCCCTCCACTCAGCCGGCTCCGGCTTGCTCCACGTCCCCCAACCCACTCACCCCAACATTGGCAGGAGAGCCTTCAGCCACTCTGTTCCCAACCTCTGGAATTCCATCCCCTAATCACTCCGCCTCGCCCCCTCCTTAGCTTCCTTCAAGTCCCGCCTCAAGACCCTCCTCCTCGACTATGCCATTGGCCACCCACCTTCCCCTCCCTTACCCCCACCAACCCCAGCTCGGGTCTGAAATGCTGTACTCTGTCCAGCGCCTTCCTGACGTGAAAGGCGCTATACAAATGTAATCTTGTTGTTTTTGTTGTTGTTGTTGTTGCAAAGAAGAACGCAGAGAGAAACAGGAACTGGTTACAGCGCTCAATGGTAGGAGCAAGTTCTCTAGTCAGTTAAGTAATAATTCTGCTTTTTGCGTTACTTTTCTCTGTTTACGTGCTTTATGTGCCATAGTATTGAGTATTTTTAAAATAATGTTAAATCCCTGCGACAACAACAAATGTGTAAAACCAGGGATCCGTTATGCTCATCAACAGTCAACAACTTATGTGTTATTATTCTACCCCAAGCCACCACTACAATAGCCAAGGAGGGAATCAAATGCACAATCCAATCATGCCACAAAGAGAAGCACATTGAATATAAACTGTTGTAGAAAAAAAGGATCATTCAATGGAATGCAAATTATTTGGTCTCCATACAGCTTGCACCATATTGTTTCCACCCCATCATGTATTTTTATTTCCTCACCACCAAAAAACAATCACATTCTCAGGATGTTGAACTCTATTCTTTTGTACCAGCTGTTCACTAACTTTGTTTGACACAGTGATCTGCTAAACTGAAACCAGGGTCCCTGCCCAATCGAAGTTGCTGGGTCTCTAGAGGGATGAGGACTCAGATGCAATAATGATAAAGAAAATACTGCAAATGCTGAGAATCCATTGCAGATTAGTCAGAATCCGGAAGGAAAATTAAGATGATGTTTTAGGCGTGATTGTATATTGTACCTAAAACAACTTAAGATTTCCACTGATTGTCCTGCAGTGGACTGACTGCCAGCATGTCTAGGGTCAGCTTTAGAGCTATTCTCCCAACAAATAGTTCAAAGCAGAACTACGTGAAACACCATATGTGCCATTGAACTGCCAAATGCTTTTCTTGGTAAGAATTTCCCTTTACAATCATGGGTTTTGAAACCTACAGCAATAAAGAGAATTTAATTGTAGGGCAGTGGATTTTAAAAAACTCACTTCGTTACCTTAATTAAAAAAAGTCACCTGAAAAAGTTCTGACCTTACAGGAAATATTTAAATTCTAATGGTATTTCTAGCTCCATACAGCCATGATAGTCTAACTCCATATTCACCAAGCAGTGATGTAGCTATTAACACCTATAGGCTGTCAACAAGCAAGTTCATGAAGTCCAATACAAATTGTAATTGTACTTAAAACATTATGCCACTGTGTATATCTTTAGTAAAAACATTATAAAATGGATCCCCATTGGGTCTTGAGATGGACAGGTTCATGTTTTGAATCTAGAATTAGCAATTTGAAAAACTTTAATTATGAGAGTTGATACACTGAGATCAAGTGCTCTGTGACTCAGAAGCTACAGTGCAATCTCATTAGAAGGTGGTTCTCAGGGCCCATAACATCCTAATCCACTTTATAACAATAGACAATTTCATTGCACATGAGCACAACTGACTGGTTTACGTCCTGTAGACCATGTTAAAAAAGGGACAACTTCCAGGTTATCTAGTCTTTGTTGATGTCACTTAAGCAGGGTCTCCTTGGAGCTGAACTGGCTCTAAGGTGACATGCCCGGCAACAGAATGCTGGAATTGAGCCCTGTGGCGGTCTCCAATGTCCGGTTCCTGAGCCGGGCAGGTCCGCAGTATTCCAGGGCACCGCTGATGACAGCAGACCCAGCCTGGCTCATCAGCAGGACCTGGAAGGACAGACCAGTCTGACCCAAAAAAAGTAATTGATGTCACTTCCTGTCTGCTGGGCAAGCAGAGTTCACAGGAAAGGACACCAGCGATGACCTAATGACCTGGGAGTCAGTTATTTTAGAGACAGAAAGAGAGCGGTCAGGCCGCCTACATGTACAGTGAATAAGGTCCACATCTCAACAGTGTTTTAACCTAATCAGTGCTAAAGGAAGCAGGTTACAATGGAGCTGTACTGTAGCTTATGGCTCCTTACGGGCTACCCAATGGAAAATATTTGCTTCAATTTAATATTCTCTTTACTGTTTTCAATAATACTATTATTACTATTTTCAATATAGAAATATTACACCTGTTATAGTATCAATTTCAAATGAAATTGATGCCATGTTAGGCTTTACTGCAGTTTCACAAATTGAATTAGAAGACACCATAAAATTCAACTAACATTAGAATGAACACATTTACACACTTTTAGAGGTAAACCCAAATAAGTTGCTCCCTGCTCCAGCACAATTAGAGCACAACTAGAGCATAACAAGCATAAGTGAGTTTTAAAATACATGAGGTGCATTGTTCTGCCATCGTGATCCATCCCATTTTGTTGACAAGCTGAAAACCGAGTAAGCTCATGCGCAGTTGGCAAATTTTAGGGTCAAGCGACACTGGAGCTTAAACTGGCGGCTGCAGGGTTTCAAAGACAGCCTCTTAAAAACAACAGTACCAGACAGCTCTTTTCTTCTGGAAAACTACAGGAATTAGAGGGAGATGGGAAGAAATTAATTATGTGCAACACTTTAATACACCGTCTCAAGTTTAAAATACAGATTTTGGTGTGTAGGGAAGTTGCATGAAACGTTAGAGATATTCAGTGTCCAGTTTCACATTTGTTCCTTGGTTAGTTCTAATTGTAAAAAGATGACAAACTAGTTCAAAACGTAACTGTCTAATTTTGCAATGATTTGCTGGCCTTTCAGGGCACCTATGACTTCTAACAGGTGAGATAAATGCTGCATCAGCACTAATTCCGATACTGAAATAGTTCTCTATACAATGCAAAGAAAATCTATAGCTCTTCAGTCAGCTAAGCAATATACTACAGCTTCCAGGTAGGAGCTATAATTGTTTTTTCTAACTGAATTTTCTCCATTTAAAACTAAACAATTTATCAGATATAACAAGTATACATATTTAATGAATTGTAAAAAACTGACTAAAGGTCATAATTTGTAATAAAATTATTGATAACTAATATGTTAAATATATGCATATAATACACTTTTCACTTAATTGTTCCAACAGATAATGGGAGTGACTAGGTTGAGGTTCCTCCCATATTTCAATTGACAAAAGTCAATTGAAAACAAGTGAAGTAACTTTGACAAATTTACATGGGTTTAAAAGGCTGTTGTTTATATTAGGGGTCAATACCTGTCGGAATTAAAAATGTTCAGTTGTTTAGAGCAGGGATTTTAACCAATAAATCATTCTTTTTAATTGCGGATGAATGATACCTAATCTGGCCAATCCTGGTTGTCAAGATCAAAAAGGTGATTCAAATGCACTAACCTTTTTGTCATAAACATCCTGCCAGTTAATTCCAGTAAAAAAGCTGTGTTGCATGATGTCCTTTGCGTCTTCTGGACCTCCACCAAGCCTAATAATAGAACAAAAAGGAATTTTTAATGCCTGCATAATGTCAAACAATTCTAATTCGTTTGCTACTTTAAAAAATACTTTGGTTAACATCTGCATAGTGACAAATAATGGGCATGTTCTCGCTATCTGACTAAATAGTGATGCTGTATAATTGAAACTCGTCAAAATTAAAACATCAGTGTAATTGGACAGTTATACCAGTAAGTTCAATTTAGGCACAGAATATTTTCTCGCTGTATGGCAATTTTATCTTCAAGTCATTCACCAACTTGCAGCTGAGGGGACAGGCAGACAACCTGCTCGAAGCCCTACATCTCAGCCAGTCAGGTTGTGCTGGGGAAGTGTACAGCAGTGGCCAGAGGATGAGACTCCATCTGATATTCCCTTCCCCTGTGGGAAGGCATCTGGACCCTGCTTACGGCCTCCTATAGAAGTGAGATAAAGATTAGCATAGAGAGTGGGTGAACTCAAATCTGTGCTCTGATGTGTTGCACCACAAGTGCACTTTCTCTTTAAAAATAGCTTCAATTTCACATTCTGGTTTGCATTTCAGTTAAGACTGCGTTCTTATTTTTAGAATAAGATTTTTAGAATTCAAAACCACCGGTAAGGCAGGATATTGTGCAGCGGTTTGCTGTGAATTGGCAAGACAATAATTCACTCATAGTAAACTTGTGGCTTTTGCAGGGCCATCATCAAAGATGCTGAGAAAATTAATTCAAGATAGTTACTGTGCAACTGTTAAAAGTCAGCGTGGAATAGAATTGCCAGCTGCCTGAGAGCAGCTCACCCTGTGCTTCGGGACGTCCTCCCGACGTGAAAGGCGCTCTATAAATGTAATTTTGTTGTTGTTGCGCTTGAACTCACAAATTTTTAATCCACCACTGAGTCAGACTGACACACAAAAGTATTAGGAAAAAAACTTTATGTAGAGAGTTTTGGAATATGGAATTTTATGCCACAAACTGTTGTTAAACCAAGATTTAAACAGCAATTGTCCATATTCCCAGAAGTGTTGGTAACACCTTCAGTTACTAACAGCATAAAAAACATCTCGATTACTCATGCGTGTTACTGTTTAAGAATTTAAAATTAATCATCTTTCAATAGAGAATCATGCAATTTCTATTTGTCAAGCATGCATTCGTAGAAGAATACTTCAAGGTATTATTTTCTATACGGGGTATGCAAATCATCCAAACAACAACAACAACAACTTGGATTTATATAATGCCCTCCATGCCGGACGGCGTCTCAGAGCGCTTTACAGTAACAGGTCCCGGGACTGAGCCAGGGGGAGGAAGGTGACCAAAGGCGCGGTCGAAAAGAAAGGTCTTCAGCAGAAACCTAAAAATGGGAAGGGAGGGGGCGAGGCGAAGGGAGTGAGGAAGGGAATTCCAGAGCCTCGGGGCATAGTGGCTGAAGGCACGGCCGCCGAGGGTGGAGCGGAGGACTCGGGGGATGAGGAGGAGGCCAGACCCAGAGGAATGAAGGCAACGGGTACTGTTTTGAGGAGAGAGGAGGTCAGACAGGTAGGGGGTGCAGAGGAGTGCAGGGACTTGAATACAAGGGTGAGGATCTTGAAGTCGATCCTCTCTGGGACAGGCAGCCGGTGCAGTCTGGCAAGGACCGGGGTGATCAGGGAGCGGAGTTTCGTGCGGGTGAGAACGCGGGCGGCAGAGGTGTGAATGATTTGGATTTTATGGATGGTAGTGGATGGGAGGAGGGCATTGGAGTAGTCCAGCCGAGAGGTGACAAAGGCATGGACCAGGGTTTCAGCAGCTTTTAGGGAGAGATATTGGCGGAGACGGGCGATGCGTCAGAGGTGGTAGAAGGCAGTGCTGGTGAGGGACCGGATGTGGGGGAGGAAGGATAATTGGGAGTCGAACCTGACGCCTAGGTTGCGTACGGGTTCGGAGAGTTTTAGAGGTAGGTCGGATAGGTGGAGGAGGTGAGAGCCGTGAGATTTTAGACATTAACGAGAGCCGAAGAGTATGGCTTCCGTCTAGTCAACGTTCAGCTGAAGGAAGTTTGCGCTCATCCAGCCCCTGAGATCTGACAGGCAGTCTGACAGAACATCAGGGGACTGGGGGTCGCAAAGAGAGGTGAAAAAATAGAGTTGGATGTTGTCCACATACATGTGGAAATGTCCCCCATAATAATAATAATAATAATCCTTGCATTTGATATAGCGCTTTTCACATCGGAAGGACATCCCAAAGCGCTTCACAGAACACACTGTAAAGTGAATTGACTGTATATTTGTGGGCGAACGCGGCAGCCAATTGCGCACAGCAATGTCCCACAAACAGTCGTAGATTGAAAATGACCAATTTATTATTGGTTTTGGTTTTGGAGGGATTATTATTAGGCTCTGTGTGGAGTAAGGAAACTTGCCCAAGGTTTCGCCCTCTGCCTGGAATTGAACTCAGGTCTCTCACTTGCAAAGCGAGTGCTCTAACCACTGAGCTACAGGACTCCACTCCATGTCTACGGATGACATCCCCAAGAGGGAGCATGTAGATCAGAAACAGGAGGGGGCCAAGGATGGATCCTTGGGGTACCCCGCAGGTGACCGGGTGAGAGCGGGAGGAGAAGCCGTTTGTGCAGATGTACTGTTGGCGGTTTGTGAGGTAGGACTCGAACCAGACGAGTGCGGTCCCACTGAGGTGGATGACGGAGGAAAGGCGGTGGAGGAGGATGGTGTGATCGACTGTGTCGAACGCGGCGGAGAGGTCCAGGAGGACAAGGAGGCAGAGGTAGCCCTGGTCACAGATAGAGAGGATGTTGTTTGTGACTTTCACAAGCGCAGTCTCTGTACTGTGGGCGGAAACCGGACTGGAGGGGTTCGAAGAGGGAGTGGGAGGAGAGGTGTGCGCGAAATTGGTTTGTAACAACGCCTTCTAGAATTTTTGAGAGGAAGGGCAGGTAAGAAATAGGGCGGTAGTGGCTGGGGTTTGAGGGATCTAGGGAGGGTTTTTTCAGGAGTGGGGTGATGACAACAGTTTTGAGGGAGGCAGGGACTGATCCGGAGGAGAGGGACTGGTTGATAAAGTCAGCCAGTAGTGGGCAGAGGAGGGGGAGCTGGGTGACCAGTAAGTTGGTGGGGAGGGGGGTCGAGGCAGCAGGTGGTGGGTTTCATGGAGGTGATGGTGTGTGAGAGGCAGGAGGGAGAGATGGGAAGGACGGAATGTAGAATGGGGGTGGTGGTAGGAGCAGATGATGAGGAGGGTGAGGGGGACAGTGAGGGCGTGGTGGTGGGTGACAAGGGGCAGGTGGATGAGGCTGCCTGGCAGGTGTTAAGTATTTTAGAAGAAAAGAAGTCCATGACCTCCTCGGACTTGGCATTTGATACGAAGATTGAGGAGGCCTGAGGGGGGACACGGAGGAGATAGTGGGTGGTGGAAAAAAGGATTTTTGGGTTGTGTTTAGCTTCCAAGATGATGTTGGAGTAGAAGGTCGATTTTGCACGAGTCAAAGAACGGCGATAGCTGTGGAGATGCTCGAGCCTCAGTTGGCGGTGAACTGTGAAACAAAGGGCCATTCTGACTGAAAACTGCAGCCTACACATTCCTGCACCATAATGGTACACAAATAGAAATGTCCAGTTTGTCCCATCTTGAAATGGTATTACCCCAGAAATTATTCCAATGATTGCAATATGGAACTTTAATCTAATGGCTTTCAAAAGTTTAAGAAACAAGATGCATGACATACCTTTTATTTGGATCTTTTATAAGTAATCCTGACAGCAATGATTTTGCATCAGAAGAAAGAGTTCTGGGAAATTTAATGTCCTCCATTAGGATCAGTTCAAATAGCTTCTCGTGGTCCTGGTTGTAAAAAGGCAGTCGACCGCACATCATCTCATACATTACGACACCCAGCCCCCACCAGTCAACAGCACGGCCATAGTCATTGTCTTCTAAAACCTGTCCAAGAAAACAGAAGACATATAGTTTGACAAGAGTTGAAAGATGTTTGTCTTAAACGGCCAATATTTTTTGGGGTCAGCTGGGTGTCTGCCACATAAAGAAACCCATCACCATGCTTAAAAGTATCCAAAACAGGGTTTCAGATATGTATGCTACCTACACATGTAAACTGTTCTGTGTCTGGAATCCAATGTGCACTCTCTCTCTGGAGAGATAGAACCTGGTCACCTAATTCTGGACAGTATTAGGTACAGTTTCTGAGAGTGTGCTGCTGGAGTTTAACCAGCTAAAACTGCAGAGCCTGCCATTGGGAACATTCTGCCAAGCTTCCTGCTGCATGACCACCCAGGACCACACTACCTATTAGGGCTCTGACTCACAACATATAGAGTATTAAGGAAAGCAAAGCTTCAAAATGTGTAAGAATCAATCAATCATACGTAAAATAGTGACTTCACTAAGTAAGAAATAATTTCAAAAATTAGCATTCCTACCTAGAACGTGTACTGTTTAGTTTGGGTGGTCAAAATACTTCCAATTTGGACATTTTTTCCCTCCAAAACAAAAAGCATGCTTACAAAACCATACATGCCTGCTCTCCAGCTGGCTCATTTGGTAAAGGTATTGACTAGCATCAAAGAGCCAAATACAGCCAGAAAGTGCCGAGTTGAATTACAAATAAAACTGTACAGACATTGCCAAGTACTCACCAAATTAAAACCAATGTAACAGAATATGGACCTCCAGATTAGGCTGAGCTTTGATGCTCACTGAGGTCTAATATCCTCAGGAGTCCTGTAGTTTAGTGATTAGAGCACTCGCCTCGCAACTGAGAGGACCTGGGTTTGATTCCCGGGGAGGACAAAACATGGGGCAAGTTTCCTTATTCCACATGCCTGTTTACCTAGCAGTAAGTAGGAATTCGCCACATTGCCTGCCTCAATCCGTACCTCACACTCACAGTAGCTGAAACCCTCATCCACACTTACCGGATGGACTTTTCAAATGCCCTTCTCGCTGGTCTCCCCAGTTCCACCATACCATTGGCGGGAGAGCCTTCAGCCACTCTGCCCCCAACCTCTGGAATTCCATCCCCCAATCACTCCGCTTCGCCCCCTCCTTAGCCTCCTTCAAGTCCTGCCTCAAAACCCTCCTCTTCGACCATGCTATCGGCCACCCACCTTCCACTCCCCTCCCTTCTCGCTCCCTGACCCCAGCTCGGGTCTGAAATGCTGTACACTGTCCAGCGCCTTGGGACGTCCTCCTGACATGAAAGGCGCTATACAAATGTAATCTTGTTGTTGTTGAAGTACACAAAATTCAATTAATTCAGAACTCCACCTCCGGTTACACCCTCGCACAAAACTCCGGACCCCCATCACACCAGTCCTCTGCACTGGCTCCCAATTATCGAATGGATTGACTTCAAGATCCTCTCATTCATTTTCAAATCCCTTCTTGCCCTCCGATTTGCTTATCCCCACTCCACCACCCACTGCCTCCACTTGGCCGGCTCCGGCATCCTGTTCATCCCTCACCCACTCTGCCCCACCATCAACCGCCGGGCTTTCAGTCACTGTGCCCCAAAGCTCTGGAATTCCCTCCCTCAATCCCTTCACCTTGCTCCCTCCCTCCTCATTTTTAAATCCCACCTAAGGACCTCTCTTTCTGAACATGCTTACGGTCACCTCCCCCTCTCTCTTCCCCTGGCTAGAGGTCAGACACCGACACTGTCAAGCGCTCCGGGATGCTACCCCGCGTGAAGGGCGCTATATAAATGCAAGTCGATTGGCGGATCACTTTTCTGGGGGTAATAATCCATCCAAAAATCACTCTCAAAATATACAGTCAATTCGCTTTACAGTATATTCTGTGAAGGTCTTTGAGACATTTCGAAGACATGATAAGGCGGTATACAAATGCAAGGACTATTATTATTAACAGGAGAGGAAAGAAAATTGATGGGATGAAAAGATATATTCCTTGCTCATGAACTGAGAAGAAAAACTCAGAATATTTCGATCGTAACTTGCCACACATTTTCCTCAGCAAAGTACATTCAAACTAATGTTTATTTTAAAATATGATGTTTTGCACTGCTGCTAAGTACTCCAATGGAATGGAAGGAGAAAGAATTTTATAGAGACAGAGTAAAATATTACAACAAGAACAAAAGATTGTTTGCAGGAAGGACTGATTTGCCACAAGTAATTTTCTGTCTCACAGTAGGTCAATTATTACATCAGAGTACTACATTTTTGCTTTTTGTTTTGTGAAGGAAGTAAGGATGGCTACAAGCTGTAATAGTAAATATACTCAAAGAATCAGATATCTCCAGGCAATGGGAGATCTAACTTCAAATAGGATTTTTCAAAATGTGGTACTGAGAAAATCATCCAGACTCATTGCAAGTTGAGTCCAAAAGTTGGACTCAACTTGCCTCAGGAGGCAAACTCAATATAAAAACATATTGAGGTGGCTCGAGCATGTGTTGGGAGCATCAATGAATAATGCCTCAGTGCAGTGAGCTAGTTTGCACCTGAAACTGTGCAGGTACATCAGTATGGATGCAGATTAGTAGCCAGAATTCATCATGGCTGAATTTGCTTATTGCCTTAGTGAAAACTTTGGAAAATTCTTAAATTTAGTTTTAATTTTGAAACAGAATTTCTGCAGTGATTAATTCAGATATGGTGAAAAACAGTAAACAATAATGTTATTAATCATTTGGCACATTTTGTAGACTCATTCCCATGGCATTTCTTACGTAAACCTGCTGGTAAAAGATCCATGAACATTTCCTTACATAGCACTATCTACACAAATTATTATTCAATCCACTTCCCCTCAATATGGAATATATGCTGGCAAGAAGACTGTTTTTAGTATTTTGCAAAAGCTGTGTAAATGCATTTTACTGGGTTTCACAACTACCCGCATAACCGTCCCCATCTGTCACCATCTGCTATTATTTAGCATCCACTTTCTTTTTGAAAGAACACTTCATGATGCAAATATCGCCCAGCACTTAAGTTATTTATTGGCACCATTGAGTGTCAGGCCTCTTAAAATTAATTTTCACACGTTTGAAATCTTAAATTGCACATTAAGCAATCTGTACTTTAGATTAGGGAAAAGGCATTCTACATTAAGTCCTTAATTTTCAAATAGCTAAAATCTAGAAAATAAATATTGCAGTTTACAATGAATAAAATGAACTTTGTATCTTCACACTGTCCTCACATTATATTCCACACAAATTACTAGTCATGTGTGACTAAAGCAGAATCAAATTAAAGAATGACACTTCTATTACTTATTATATCCAGGTTCTATTACATAATAATAATAATAATAATAACAATTCTTGCTTTTGATATAGCGCTTTTTACGTCTTCTAGACGTCCTAAAGCGCTTCACAGAATATACTGTAAAGTGAATTGACTGCATATTTATGGGTGAACGCGGCAGCCAATTGCGCACAGCAATATCCCACAAAGTCATGGATTGAAAATGACCAATTTATTATTTTTATTTTTTTTGGAGGCATTATTATTAGGGCTCTGTGTGGAGTAAGGAAACTTGCTCAAGGTTTCGCACTGCCTGGAATTGAACTCAGGTCTCTCGCTTGCAAAGCGAGTGCTCTAACCACTGAGCCACAGGACTCCACATAAACCATTGTTGCAATATAATGTGCACAAACTACCTCAATAACTTGCACGTACATAACCCTCCATGTGGGGTTATGCCTCAGAACAAAGATGGGGTTGGATGCTGAGCAAGAGGGTGGAGGGAGATGCCATAGGCGTGTTCAAAGAGGTATGTTTGCAAAGCAGGGGCAGATCAGAGAGACAAGGAGATGCTGGGGAGTGGAGGGATTTTTAGGTGGTGATGGTGAGGTCTTTGTAATTGACCTGCTACGAGACAGAGAGCCAATGGAGGTTTGGTGAGGACTGGGGTGATGGATGTATGGAGTTTGGTCCAGGTAACAACAACAAATTTACATTTATATAACACCTTTCATGTTGGGAGGGCATCCCAAGGCACCGGACAGTCCAGGAGGGGCTGAGGAGGGTGGGGGGAAAAATGATTATGGTCAAAGAGGCACGGTCAAAGAGCAAGATCTTGAGGTGGACCTTGAAGGACATGAGGGAACGGGCAAGTTTTAGGGACTCCAAGATGGAGCTCCAGAGAATGGAGGCAAACAGGCTTAAAGCCCAAATGCCGACGGCTGGGGCAAGTATAATAATAATAATCCTTGCATTTGATAGAGCGCCTTATCAAGTCATTGAGTCATCTCAAAGCGCTTCACAGAATATATTATGAAGTGAATTGTCTGTACTTTTTGTAAATTGAATCCTCTTCAATATCTATATGCTCCCTCTTGGTGACATCATCTGCAAACATGGGGTCAACTTCCACATGTATGCAATGACACCCAACTCTTCCTCTCTACTTCCATCCTTGACTCCAAGACCACTGCTGTCCTGACAGAATATCTGTCAGACATCAAGTCCTGGATGAGAGCCAACTTTCTTCAGTTGAATGTCAACAAGACCGAGGCTCTCCTGATTGGCTCTCACACCTCAGGCGCTGACAGCATCACCATCCATGGTTGCACACTCCACTTTACTAAGCCAGTCCGGAACCTTGGGGTCTTGTTTGATCCTCAACTAGCCTTTCTACCCCACATCTGTGCCATGACCCGCTCTGCCTTCCCCCAGCTCCGCCACCGTCTCACACCTCAAGCTGCCGAAACTCTCACACGCATTCATAACATCTAGGCTTCATTATGCAAACTCCTTGCTTGTCAGCCTCCCCAACTCCTCCCTCCATAGGCTGCAGATCATCCAGAACTCTGCAGCCCATGACCTCTCCCGCACCAGGCTCCGTGACCCTATCACCCCCATCCTCACCCGACTCCTGGCATCCCATCACACAGAGGATACAGTTCAAGATCCTGGTCCTCATCTTCAAAGCCCTCCACAGCCTCGCTTCCCCCTAATTCTGCGACCTCCTAACCCCCTACCAACCTACCCTCTTCCCTAGCTCAGCGGGCTCCGGCCTGCTTCACGTCCCCCAGCTCGCCTGCCCCACCATTGGCGGGCGGGTCTTCTGCCACTCTTCCCCCACACTCTGGAACTCCATCCCGCATTCCCTCCCCCTCGCCCCCTCCCTTGCCTCCATCAAGACCCATCTCAAGAACCTCCTCTTTGACCGTGCATTCGCTCACCCTGCTTCCCCCGACCGCCTTCCACCCACCCACCCCCCACCCCCGACAACCCCCAGCTCGGGTCTGAAACACTGTCTGTCCAGCACCCTTTCATGTCGGGACATCCTCCCGATGTGAAAGGCGCTATACAAATGTAACTTTATTGTTATTGTTGTTGTCATTTGTGGGAAAAACACAGCAGCCAATTGCGCATACAGTGCCCCACAAACAGTCGTGGATTGAGTGACCAAATTATATTTGATTGCAGGGATCATTATCCCCAGAAAAACGATCCGCTAATCAACAAACGTGTTCCTACTTAACGCTAGGTAAAAAGAGGCGCGTGGAGTAAGGAAACATGCCTTAGGTTTCGCCTCAGGGATGAGAGGCAGCTGAAGCTTGCTGAGTTTAGAGATCAAGCAATATCAACCTGCTTCCAGTCCAATGTCACCTTTGTGATCAATAGTAATGAGACGTGCGAGGGCAGCCACTCATTTGCCCTCGGATTTGCCTTCTGTGGTTATGGTGTGCTCTGTTTAGTGGCTTCATCTTAGCAGAAAGTCATAGGAAAACCATGAAGCTAGAATGTGCATTTCAACCAACTAAGTCCATTGCCTCTACAGACCTGTGAATACTCTCTGAACTTTGTTCTTAAGTTCTAAATCTATGAGTCTTTGGATCATTTTCTCTTCAGCAATAAAAGTTACCAATTTTACAATTTTACACCCATAATTTACAAATGTAGAAGCAAAAAATACTAACAAGAGGGCTTGAAAGCATTTTCAACATAGAACTTTTTCCAAATGCAAGACAACTGCAATATGAAGCTAATACAAAATTCCCTAAAGCATTAGTAAACATTATTTTCAACACGATAGATCATTCTAATAACCAACCAACCAAACATGAAATCTATTCTTTCATTAGCTGTGATAATGCAAATTTTCTTCTCACAGCTTTCTGTTCAGTTCACCGGTAAGGTTATATTGAAAAAAATATTTTACAGTTGAAAAGATTTTACCATGGATGATGCAAAAACAAATATTTTCAACACAATGAGATATTCAAATAACTCATCAACAAAAGTCACTGTGTCATATTTATGGGAAACAATTAGAAAATGTTTTTCCAAACAGCTCTTTATGAAGAGAGTATAGTACAAATATAACTCTGAAAAAGAGCGGAACAAATTTTCTTTAGCTTTGTATTCCTTCTTTCTGCTTAAAATATAATCCAGCATTATCCCACAAACCCACAGGAAAGTTTGTCATATCGATTATAATGACCTTACCTCTGGAGCCAAATATTCTGGTGTACCACAAAATGTCTTCATGGTAGCTGCATCTGTAATTCCTTCTTTGCATAGTCCAAAATCTGTAATTTTGATGTGGCCATCTTTGTCTAACATTAAATTCTCCAGCTACATGAAATAGAAGTAGAACAAAAATCAATTAATACACATGAAAAATAAAAAATACATACATCAACTGTAAAACTAAATTCATGGGATCCCTTCCTCACTCCCTTTGCCTCGCCCCCTCTCTTCTTATTTTCAGGTCTCTGCTGAAGACCTTTCTTTTCAACCATGCCTTTGGTCACCTTCCTCCCCCCCACCCCGGCTCGACACCGGGATCCATTACTGTGAAGGACTCTGAGACGCCATCCGGCGTGGAGGGCGCTAAATCCAAGTTGTTGTTGTTGTTGTTGATTGATTGGATAGCTCTTCTGAGAGCCGGCACAGGCACGAAGGGCCGAACGGCCTCCTTTTGTGCTGTAATATTCTATGATTCAAATAATTTATTCGCTTTAGTTTTTCAGGGAAATTAACCTATTCTTCCAAGAATACGAGGAAGTCATTTCTCAGTATATTACAAATACAAACCAAACAGAATGAAAGTTTTTGAAAGATTTAACAGCATAAAAAAAATTCTATTTCCCAGTCTTCTAAAATTTTCATAAATTTAAGCTTGGAGAAGGAATATCAATGACAATTATAAACAAATTATTTTATGTCTAGCTGTATCCATTGCAGCTTCACTTGCAACCAAAGGATCCAATATGAAATGTAGATTGACACACACACAGACATTTCGCCTTTATCTATGCTCAGCTGGGATGACTCCTGTGGAAGACTCCTTATGGGAGGACTCAGTGGAAGAACTCCTTTAATATATTTTCTCTTCCAGTCTCTCTGTCTCTTATTCTCTCTCAGTCTCTCTCTTCTAGTCTCCCTGTCTCCTTCTCAGTCTCTCTCTCTCCCAGTCTCTCTCTCTCTATCAGTTTCTCTCTTTCAGTCTCTCTCGGTCTCTCTTAATTTCTCCCTTAGTGTCTCTCCCTCGGTCTCTTAGTCTCTTTCTCTGTCTCTTAAATCTCTCTCTCAGTCTCTCTTTTAGTCTCTCTCTCTGTCTGTCTCACTCTCTCTCTCTCTAGGTCTCTCAGTCTCTCTCCCAGTCTCCCCCTCTCTCTCTCAGTTTCTCTCTCTCTCAGTGTCTTTCTTAGTGTCTCTCTCTCTCAATCTCTCTCTCCCAATCAATCTCTCAAGCTTTCTCTCAGTTTCTCTCACTCTTTGTCTCTGTTTGTCTCTCTCTTTCTATGTCTTTCTCTCGCTCTCTCAGTCGCTCTCTGTCTTTCTCTGTCTCTCCCACAAAACACATAGTCACTACACTTTATAATACATTCTCTCTCACAGTCTCTCTCTCATTATCTCAGACTCTCTCTGTCTGTCCCACATGGGAGGATTCTGGCTCCCATTATAACCAGAAAAAAGTGCCATACATTTGTTGCAGAATATAGACGTATCTCTCTGAACGATGAATGCTTTCCTCTGATGCTGCGTAGTTGCAGAATACGATACGTACCTCATATTTTGGGGCTTAATGAAAGCATTTTTAATATAGCTCATCAATGATAGACAATTCCCCCCTAAAAAAAAGTGTCCATGACACTGCCAGTTACAAGACCTTTCTGATGAGGTATAAATCATGTCTCTACATCAATCGGTTATTGCGTGATTGCCAGATACATAGACAGACACTTAGTCTTTATTAGTATAGATTTTGCCTCAACTAATCTGTGAGAAAATGCTCATTTAATCAGCAACCAGTACAGGGTAACATAGTCTACAATCATGCAGTTCCAAACAAAATAGCACCCAGATTTGTCAATGGGATCTAATGTATTACGAGTTCTAATTGGGTTTCTTAAAACAGAAGTACATCATACCAACTTGCAGAAACTACGAATGGTGGGAACTACTTTCCGACCCAAATTTATGAACATTTTAGAAAGTTTAGAAATGAAGATCTTGTTGAGTAATGCATGTGCATTACCAGAAGGAAACCACACTGAGATGATTAAGGAATTGTATGAGAAATCACCACACCAAATTAATCACTACATTTTACATTATATCCTATGAAGTGCTTTGAGACATTCTTCCAATGTGTAAGGAGTTATATCAAATGGAAATATGATGATTAATAATTATTATTAAGTGCAATATTATCTCAGATTTTAAAAATCCCCATGATTTTGTTCCCTCAAAGTTTGATCATCAAACATTCAACAAGTTTATCCATCATCAAATCTGAGACAACTAATGAAAAAGCTTAGGTTAAGTGTCAGACCAGATCCTTTCTTTGCTGCCCCTGAAGAATTAAAACTCACCAGCTTTATGCTCAAGTTTAGAACAAATAAAATGCAACTGACTCAGCACATTTGAAACACATGCTTCATACTTATTATATAATGAAGCTTCATATATATTTTAACAAGATAAAAGACTTCCAGACAACTTTTTAAAACGCATAGAATATTATGTATATGTTGCTTGGACGCATCGCTGCTAAAAACATGTTAAAAATTAAAACTAGTACAATAGCCAGGACTCAGGTTTGCACTTTACATATAGCAAGGTCCTTACTTCAACCAGAATTAAACAGGGAATTGGTAGCATGAAGGAAAAATCTTCCCTGGAACTAAAAAGGAAGAGAGAAATAAAACACAAAGAAGTGATTCTCATCCATTCATTTCCGGCCATTTATTAAGAGGCGATTGCCGAGTCACCTTAATTTGGAGGTAAATACAAAATAAATGGCCTAATTTTTTTTGGTGGGGGGGGAAGGGAAGCCACTGCATTAAAACTGGACAAAAAAATCAATTTAAAAAGACCCAAACTACACTTCACAAAGATTCTTAAATTCTATGAAGAAATCAACAGTGGCAATTATTACTATAATCTGTTGTGGGAACAGCAGGTTCAGCTGTTGCAAGTAAGTTATGAATAATTTCAAATATGTTCCTCGTGTGAAAAATAGGAAAAAAGAACAAATTCTGATTACATTGTTACCTTGAGATCTCGGTACACAATCTTCTCGGAATGCAAATAGTCTAGAGCTGAGACAATTTCTGCACCATAGAAGCGTGTGCGGTCCTCTGAGAACACACGTTCTCTCGACAAATGGAAAAACAGCTGCAGGGTAAACAGCAGGGACAGTATTGTAATAATTACTGATTTAGTGGGGAAAATTAACACAAACATAAAACACCTCTCATCACCATATTGTGATGATAGATAGTGTACCCTTGGTAGACACTGATGGTTCCTAGACGGCAGCTGGTTTATCTTTCAAAGTTTCCGAGGGGAAATGTGAGCTGCTAAATCAGCTTTTTAATCAATATACCAATCTTGTTCTAGACATTCTGTGCACTTCCTATTTAACCTCCTACTTACTCCTGAAAAAAGTGCAGCAGTGCAATCTAATTATCTTTTTCATATTGTCAGGTGTTGAGCTGCAATATCAAATACCTGTATGTTCGCACTGTCATAGGCATTCATACAAATTACCACTGTTACCTCCAAACAGTCCCGTATTAATTGACCTGCCATCAAAATTTGCATAAGAAAGGCCTGAATGTGTCAAACAGAGATTAGACATCCTACCCACTCTACAGTTCCTACCAAATTACATGTACTGAAACTAAGGATTCCACTGAGTCTCTCAAAATCTTTACAATGATTTATTATTTGTATAGATTTTGCTTAGAAGAAATGCTGTGTTATGCAATGTATTGTGATTTAACAATAACGGATATTAAAAGATCAAACATGACACATTTCAAATATTAATTTCACCATATATTGATTTTAATCTGCTTATTAAAATAGTATGAGATGTATTTGGAACTCTACACTTCCTATTTCTTTTTAAGTTTGATCCAAGGTTATGAAAAATTTTGAAGAAAACTACAACAAAAATACCACAGTTCCCTGCTGTGTTTATATGCAAAAATATGCTAAGTACCTATGATTTTTAATGCAAGGACACATTGAAATCTTACTGCTCTGAAATATTACGAGGACAAACCTAATTAAAACTAGTTATCATGTTTTACATTTATTGTTTCATAGTAACAGGTAATAATTTTATTTAAATTGTTTCGTTCAAAACATACTTGCACTACTAGAGAAAAAAATCATATTTTAGAAACTGATTGTGCATTAATAATGCCTTTCATTTTTATAGCCTCCATTCCAAATTTTGATACACAAATTACATAGTCCAACTGTTCTGATTCTATAATGTATTAATTGACAATTATCATGATAAACTGCTGAATTTGTAATGCACCACACATCTTGCTACATCCATTCCTACAGTACCAGTCAATTTAATACTATTGCAGATAAACATATTTAGAATGCTAGAACTTTATATTTGTAACTCTTTTCACAATTCGCCATTCTAACAATACTTTTCCAAATTTCTGCAGTGGGCAGATTTCAGACTGAAAGAAGTTTAGCATTATAAGGCTCTTTTGATCTGCTCACCATGTCAAAATTTGGGAAATGTAGTAATATTTTCATAACTTTTAAAAAAAGCATTTTTTACAATATTTAAATAAACAGTCAAAGGAGGGTCATGTCTATATTTTCTCCTTCTGGAGAAAGTTACAACTTTCGTTACCATGCCAGTGTGCACCATAAAAAATAATGCTGTGAGAATAATAAAATGCTTTCATAATGAAATGCGATATTATCCAATCCCAGAATGCCTTGGTATGTGCCAAATTTTATTAATGTGTACTTGTCTTTGACTGCAACAATGTTATAATGCTCAAGAACAAATCCTTTATGCTGAGGTCTACAACTAGTGTCTTTAATATGCCTTATGGATACTGTCCCAGTGGGCATATAAAGTATGTTGAAGACACCTAGTGAAAGTATACATATTCTTATCCTACAGAAATATTAATCTTCATAATTTCAAGTCTCTAAAAATAGTCATTTAAATCAGCAATCACAGATTTATTTTTTAAAAATTCCATATGCCTTCTGACTTACTGCATAAAAATCTTTTGTTATATACATTAAGAACTGTGTTGCTAAATTAAGTTTTCTTCTGACAAGAATTACTACAGTAAGGAATGTTGGATTGCTTGCTGGAGAATTTCTATCATCATTGAGAAATTGAAAGGGGCGGAAATTCCAATTTCCCTGGTCCAACTAGTTTGGGGCATTTTTATCTCACTGTGATGTTAGAAGTATCATTTTATTGTACTAAAAGTGACAGCATTCATTCTGTTAATCAGGTTATTCCAATTGCTGGAAGTCAATAGCTGCTCATTATAAATAAATTACATAGGATCCTTATAATAACGCGGAGGCTGGGATCCATATAATCCTAAACTGCCATACAGTAAGGTCTGATAGCCGTTTTCATTGTGAATAGACAGAAGTTGGACTTAAAATGGCCAACTTCTGGGTCACCTCCAGTATCATTTCCTGCTTTGCACATCATAGCAAATGAGAAGTGGCATTGGTGATGACCTAATACCCAGAAGTCAGCAGTTTTAGTGCATAAATTGGCTCGCACGTGGGAAGTAGTGTAGTGTGCAAGTGCATTGGATGGGTACAAAGTGAACTTTAAAGAAGTGCATTATAATGGGGCCACAGTGTATATAACATTGGCAAGACTTACCTCCCCTCCGTTCACATACTCCATCACAAAACACAACCGATCTTTAGTTTGGAATGAATACTTTAATGACTGAAAACATAAAAAAAATTATTTGTTCATCATATGTAATGGAAAATTCTCACAAACCTTTAATGAGTATAAGTGTACTTTTGAAGGCATTTTGGTACAGTTTTAACATTAAACTGTACTTAATTTTGACTATATCCTAAAGCAGCAAATTAGCTAAGAATTAAGGCATCAAATGTGCCAAATATTTTAATCAACACACAAATGGAGACCATTCAGCCCGCTGGGCATGTGCTTGTGCTAATTCTTTCACCCTATTCCAAATTCTCTTTCAGAGATCGCCATTAAAAGTAATTAAAAGGAAAATTGTTCCAGATATTCTACTCGCTTGCTCTAGATCTAGTCAATAACATTTCCAAATACTACATTGTAGAGTATTCTCAAAGTGTGTTAAAATACAATTGTGTGAAAAGAACTGCAAATGTGATCTTTAAAAGGTACTGACCATATGAGAACAGTTTTACAAATTTTCATCAAATAATTATGAGGGGTTTTGACTGGGTGAATAGGGAGACTATTTTCCCTGGTAGGACAGTCACTGGCGAGCAAACAAAGATTTGAGACAGCTACAAGAAGAGAAAAAGGAGAGCTTAGGTAATTTTTCACTCAGTTGGGATGTGGAATGCCCTGGTAGAGGCAAAGTATACTGTAGGTTTCAAGAGCGAAGTAGACAGGGGTAATAAAGATAGAGGCTTGAAGGGAAATGGGGATAGGCAGTGGAGTGAAATTGAAAGCGCAACTTGCTCTGAGAGCCGGTGCAGACTTGATAGACCGAGTGGCCATCTTCTGTGCTGTAAATTTCTATGATCCTAAGATTACTTACAAATAATTTGGGCTAACAAATTGTGAATTTGCAAATCCTGAATCCTGCCAGTAACTGGACGTGTATCACATTGACCGAAAGATCACAACTCCATTGTAATCTCCTTCCAGGTGTGTCACAAATGGAGTTTCCATGGGTTGGCGTGAAACATCAGCAGGTTTCCATACCTTCCTATCCTTTGGAAATGCCACTTTTTTGGTTAATGTATTTTAATTTGTGTCATTACATTGTGCATTTGTAAACAGAAGTGTTGTACTAAATACTATTAAAATTATTGAATTTTGGTTAATTTCATAATATATTTTGTCTTTGGGTCTGATCTGGTTCAGTTTGAGCACCCAAAACGATTCTAAGTAGCTTTCACACATGATAATAACTTTCTTTCATAATGATATCACTTATTACATTTTCAAGTTCTGTGTGGCATGCATACTGCTCATTTCAATGTATTCATTTCTATCCAGAACAGATGTTAATCTATAATCTACATCTACATTATAACTCAGTAGGTCTAGTTAGTACAAACATATGCTATAAATTTAATAGAAAATCAACGCAATTCTTGAGCCCCATATCCATTAAATGTTTTACGGCAGAAGAAAACATTTTACAGTCTTGTACTTACCGTTAAAAATGGATGCCTAGTGTTTTTTAATACTCTGCTTTCTGTAAGTGTGTGTGCTACCTCATCCTAAAGAAAAGGAAAAACTATTTTAAAGACTGTCAAGGTAACAGACCTATACCACAAATGTAAAATGTTTAACATTTATTTAGTTTTATTACAGCTTTTCTTCAGTTTAGACCAGAAAGGGCTAAAATTATATCGATAAAATGTAAAAAAAAATATTTTTTTAAACGAGCTAATGCCTGCTTAATAGCAAAAGATATCTATGTATGAAAGTCTGATTTTTTTAAATATTGGTCATAATCTGTAACTTTCTTAACAACTACTTGAGTCCATTTTTTCTTAACCACTCAATCTCTCCAAAGCCAGTATAATGGCATTAATATTCTGTTTGGCATCATAGGAAGCAACGTCAGTGGCCTGGAAGTAGTTGTATGTAAGTAGTTCTGGAAGTAGTTCTGTAATTCTAAATAAAATTATTTAATAATGGGAATTCATTTTACTAATTTTCCATAAAATTGGAAAACCTAACAAATACTAATTAAAATTGAACAATGGAAAATGTAATCATAATAGAGAAGGAGCCCTCCCTGCTGCATAATTGAAATTGGTAGATAATCAAGGTTCCAATATAATAAAAATAACTACTTTTCTAGATTGCTGCTAAAACACTTGAAAGTGTTAATACAAGTTAGGGACACTATGCAGAAGTCAAATATTATACAAAGTGGAAAGTACAAATTTTGCATGATTTAGTGTTGTTGTCATTAAATATATATAATGGAGATTAAAATCATAAGTAGGAATTAGTTTAATGTGTAGCTATACAGGATTCAGAGTATAGAGAGGATATTAAATGATATTATGCATACATATTTAAAAATCTAAGTACTTCAGCTTTCCAGATTCTTATTATTTCAAGTAACAATCACATCAGCATACATGCATACTGAAGGGAGATAATGTGGCATCTACAAATGTGGCCTCCAGAGCAATTGCCTAGATCAGAGAGGGGGTGGGGGTTCCCATTAGAACAAATTACAGGAGGTCGCTGCCCTTCTGATACAAGAAGAAATAAATTAAAATTAGCGTTAAAATATCTGCAATCATCTGCAGTGTCCTTCAAAAGTTCAGAAAAAAATACGTAATCTTTTAATACGACCAACAATGTCAGAATGTTCATGAACTTAATGGCCCAGTGGGAGATGCTCCAAAATGCACCAACACTGCTGATGAGATTCATGGACATCTTATGTCTACCATTATCCATCACTGATGTCGGGTCAGAAATGTTGCTCCGAGTTTTGCTGAAGGAGATGGGGAGGGGTGGCTCTACACAAAGAATACAGATAACTATAAAGCTGAACATGGGTTGCAAAAGGGGAAATTTTAAAAAAACAATAAATAGGCCAAAATTAAGATGACCAAATTTAGAATAGAATGACAAACAGTAATATTTTATCAAAAATAATAATCCTTCCATTTGAAATAGCGCCTTATCGCATCTTCAAGACGTCTCAAAGCGCTTCACAGAATATACTGTAAAGTGAATTGACTGTATATTTTGTGGGCAATTCTGAAGACATACAAGACATACTTCAAAACTCTTTTGATAGTATTTATTTAACTGTAAAATTCACTCCGTCCTGTTTGAAAGGCTCTTCATTTATCATCAGTTCATGACATTAATTAATTAATTAATTTCCAACTCTCATTGCTGCATTACCATCTGAACAGTGCTAGAGAATGAGGACTAAATGCCAAGCGGATAAGTAAACAAACCATTTAAGTAAACAGTGATTAAAACTCACCAATTGATAGATCCAATTTAAAAACTAGGGTCAATTCAATTTAGGGGTCCATTTGATAGTTTCCTGGATAGCTCCCATCTTCATTGCCAGTCATTCGCAATGGGGAAGTACAGATTGTTTGCCTGCGACAATGAACTTCCAGCTCAGGGAGGCAGGGCGGCATGAGGAAGGGGAGGCAGGGCGGCATGCGTCAATGAGAACTAGGTCCACTTGATGCATTATATACCAAATAAAATGCTAAATTGAATCCACTGTACCTTCTGTTTGTTTTGCATTATTTTACGGGAGCAAGGCTTCAAAACAGTTGTATGAGTATAGATGGGACACTCTTAACCACTAAATACAGTTAATGATCAGAATACACCGCATTACCCCACACTATTATATTCTCAATACACACTACATAAAGGTATATTTTGGTATATAATGTCCAGCAATGAGAAGCATCTAGATGACTCTGGCAGTGTTTTGTTGCTTAGGGAAGATTTGTTTTTAATAAGCTCCTTGGCATTTCCTTCTGGGATCTTTTATTCTCTATCTGGTTGAGAAAACAATATTATTTTATGTATTTTTTTTGTATTGGGCTTTTTTTATGCTTTTTTTTATTCGACCAAAGCTAAATTAGAAATTACTCGATAAATTACCCACAAGGAAATCCTGCATTTGCAATCATCAGTGGTATGCAAGTCAAAGATAAACCATGTTTTAGAGAATGAGCTCAAGAGGAGAAAACACAGCATCAAAGGTTTTAAGTATTAAATCTATTTTAACAAATCTTTGTTTGATACACCTGTATTTCAACTGAATATTATAGTAACCATCAGAATCCTGATATGTAAATCATACAGCTGGTGCTCAGGAAGCAAGCGGGCTGGCTAAACCATGTATAGTTACTGGGGTCTACACCCTAACTGAGTCTAACCAAATCAGCGCTATAAAAAAGTGCATTATAACAAGACTACACTGTACCTGTCTGGAGAAAGTGGATCCAGAGATATAGTAAAAAGGCTTGTTGGGTGAAATTGCCATCCCCAGTTCACTAAAACCCCAGGGAGGTCAATTCATATAAAATACTGTGTTAACTCAATGTAGCTCATATTCCTAATTCTTCAGAAAACATAATCCCCGGTTTTATATTTCCAAATGCTTATGTACCACATCTCCACCATGCCAATACTGTTCTATTATAAACAAGGTGTGCCTACCTTCGCAATAATGATTTCTTTCTTCAGGATCTTCATTGCATAATATTTCCCAGTTGCTTTTTCTTTGACTAAAATTACTTTGCCAAAAGTGCCTTTTCCCAGTAGTTTTAAATAATCAAAGTCATTCATAGTCTGTAAATAAATAAGATCAAATAAGGAAAACAAAATTAAGTTGTCGTTAATAAAAAGCAAGAACCAGTTACACTGCATTCAAGAACAAGTACCAATAATTACTCAATTTCAAATGTTTTCAAAGCCCGAGGTTTCTTTTTAGAAATCTGTTTTTTGACAATTAATTTCCTAAGAATGTTTGGTTAGATTATATAAAGCTATATTTTTTCATGACAGTGAATTCAAATAACAGTCTTCATTTAAAAATTGGTAATTTGAATGTTCAGCCCTTTTCCCTAGTTATCACAGGATTCAATTTCCCAAACAAACAAATTAACAACAATGCATTTATATAGCGCCTTTCATGTTGGATGAATGTCCCAGAGGGCTGGATAGTTGAGGGTTTACACACGATTCGTAAGGAGTGGGAAGACGGCCAAAGGAGTGATCAAAGAGAAAGTTCTTGAACAGACCTTGAAATAAGCGAGGAAAGGTATGAGGCAAAGGGATTCCAGGATGGAGTTCCAGAGACTGGGGGTAGAAAGGCTGAAGGCCCAACAGCCAATGGTGGGGTGGCTAGGTGGGGGGGTGGGGTAAAGCAGGACAGTGCCTATCAAGCGGAGGGAGCGGCTAGCTTGGTAAGGCTTTAGAAGGTCACAGAGGTAGGGTGGGGCAAGACCGTGGAGGGATTTAAAAGTGACGACAAGGATCTTGAAGTAAGTCCTCTTGGGAATGGGGAGCCAGTAGAGCCGGACAAGGCTGAGGGTGATACGCTTGTGGAGCCTAAATGGGAGAGGACACGAGCAGCAGAATTTTGAATATCTGCACCTTGTGGAGGGAAGAATATCTGCACCTTGAGGAGTCCTGTAGCTCAGTGGTTAGAGCATTCGCTCGCAAGCGAGAGATTTGGGTTTGATTCCCAGCAGGGCAAAAGCTTGGGCAAGTTTCCTTATTCTAAACGCCTGATAATAATCCCTCAAGAAAAAAAAACAATAATTGGTCACTTCAATCCACGACTGTTTGTGGGACACTGCTGTGTACAATTTCCTGCCATGTTTCGCCTACAAATATTCAGTCAATTTACTGTGAAAAGCGTTATAACAAATGCAAGGATTATTTTTATTATTATAAGAGTTGGGAAAACCGGCAAGCGAAAAGTTAGCATAGTTCATGCTGAGGTGTTGAGTAAGGTTCTCGGTTGCCCAAGCGGAAAGGTGGTAGCAGAGGCGGGAAATGTTGCAAAGGTAGGTTAAAGCTGACGATCAAGACAAGGTTATGTGGTTTAAAGGGCAATTGACAATCGAACAACACACCAGGGTTTTGTACCAGCTTAGTAAAATGGATTGTGCATTGATCTATAGTGTTGTCAGTACCAGAAGCAAAAAGGCACTAATGGGAGCCAACCAGACCTGTTTTGTCAACATTCAATTGGAGAAAGTTAGCTCTCATCCAGGATTTATGTCTGACAGGCAATTAGACAAGACAGCAGTGTTGGAATTGAGGGTGGAGACAGAGAGATAGTCATCCGCATACATGTAGAAGTTAGTCTGATGCTTGTGGGAGCATGTAAATGTTCAAGAGGAGAGGGCCGAGGATAGAGCCCTGAGGAACTTAAAAGTGATAAATAAAATTATTTACACGATAAAAATGTAGAGTTACTGGCAAAGATTTTGCTTTATGAAATAGTACCATTTCTTCAATGTATAAGACATTATTATGCAAGAAATCAAGTCTCTCTCAGTTTTTTTCTTGCACATCTCTTCTCAGACCTGAACCTTCTTCCTCTGTCTAGAGCGTCACCAGTTAAATCATTTCAAAGGTCTGCTCACACCTCAACAGAGGCCTTTGAAACTTTGAGGTGTAAAGGAACTTGTCCATTATCTTTGGGACAATATCCGTGCCCATTTTAACTTTCAACAAGTTTACACAATAATATAAGCAGCTGTAAGGCTTTCAAACATCTTACAAACAGATGTCACGCTACCACTGCTGTTGATTACACTGACTGCTGGATATTCCCTAGACAGAATGACCTCACAGTGGTTTATTTAAAAAGTTATCCAATGACAATTACCATTATCACCAGTTAAAAACAAATATTGATATAATGCTTCACACCTTATACTGTAGGCCCCTAGGCAGTTGAGAAACACACAAACACCAACGTACACATTAACGTTGACAATGATTATGCAGATTATACTTAACACAATTGGTTAAAATTGGTATCACAATTATTTGATTTTACTAGACTGTTTAAAATCTATTTGGTAGCAAACAATGGCTCAAAAATTACAATGTATCCATCCATTTGCCATACGGAGTCTGGAATAGCAAATAATTACATTGTGAAAAACTGGTGCTGGGTACAAAGGACTAGGAGGTGGGGGCTGTGTGGTAATAAGCAGGATCTCCTTGGGATTGAACTGGCTCCAAGGTTGGCAACATAATAGTGGAATCGAGTCAATCCTCTGCCGGTCTTAGTATGATTCCTGAGATGGCAGGTCTACAGTACTCTAGGGCACTGCTGATGACACACCAGCCAGTCTGGCTCACAGCAGGACGAGGGAGGCAGACTGGTCATGTAGGGATTCTCACTCAGCTCCTGTAACCCAGCAAGCAGTGGGAAGCTTGCCAGACAAGTCACACAATGGCAAGTTATGCGGTGTTAGCGGGTTACACTCCAGCAGTACCTCAACACACACTCTGGGGTGCACAAGCCTTGGCTCTCGCAACCCAGCACCTTCATGCCTTTGCACCTCCCTACCTTTCCGACTTGCTCACCCCCCACTCCATTGGGGTGATGCTGCCTCCGCTCGGCCGGCTCCGGCCTCCTGTTGGTCTCCCGCTCCCTCAGCTCCACCATCGGTGGCCGTGCTTTTAGTCACTACTCCTCGAAGCTGTGGAACACTCTGCCCCAATTTATCCACCTTGTCCCCTCCCTTCCCACATTCAAATCCCGCCTAAAGACTTTCCTTTTTGATCGTGCTTACGGTCACCTCTCCCTTCCTTCTCCCCCTGGCTCGGGGTCAGAGGCCGCCACTGTTAAGCGTTCTGGGACACTACTCGGCATAAAGAGCTCTATATAAATGCAAGTTATTGTTGTTATACTATTATAACAACAGGTAAGGTGAGCTAGGTATGTGCCTCCTGTGAGACAGTGCACATTTCATTGCAGACACAGGGAATTTTCATATGTAGGTTACATGCATATATGGAAATCTCAGTCTGATTTAATCCTCTTAAACAAAAAATTGCACAGGGCTGAAACATCCTGGTCTCTGGTTAGGTGAACAGATCACGTCCTCCCATTCGTGAAAGATGCTATGCAAATGCAATTTGTTGATGTTGTTAAGTAAGCAGCGACCACCAGAGCATTGGTGCTATGTCGTTCCATTATAGTGCCTTGTCACATCATTGAAATGTCTCACAGCACTTCAGGATTTACAATAGAGTTTAGGGGCTGTGTATTTGCAGACAAACATAGCTAATTTGCATGTAGGAATGTTCCACAAACAGTGAATGAAGTCCTGCTGGAAACAATTCCAGCAATAAAGCCAGCAAAGCTGCCGCGTTTCGCCCACAAAAAAAATGCAGTCAATTCACTTTACAATATATTCTGTGAAGCGCTTTAAGACGTCCAGAAGACGTGAAAAGCACTATATCAAATTCAAGGATTATTATTACTATTAGAAGGGCAATCCCGTTCAATACTCAGAAGAATATGATCAAGTTGACCCCAAAATCTGTTTCTCACAACACCTTGGTAAGAATAAATCTCAGAAATTCTCTCATAATTTCTATTGATTAACTAAATGGATAACTTTCTGTTTTAAACTTAAAAATACAAAAAATTCAAAAAACTATTCACAGTATGTTTTGTAGACAGTATCAGTCAGAAGCTCTTGAGGACACTGCAATTGTGATAAAACATTCCTTCAAGCATTGCTGAGTCAAGTCATTCATCAAAATACTTGTGAATGTGTTTCAAATTATCCTATTGCTAGTGATAGCTTACAGTTGTAAATGGACTTACTAATAACTGCAGTGGACATCTCCATAATGTTTCATTAACTGTACAAAAAATAAAATTTGTAACTAACTCACTCAATTCTTCTTCTTTCCCTTATTTTTTCCCCACAACATATACATTTTGTTCAAAATGGTCTCTGGTTCATATCATAAACCTGCAGGTGTTGTAGTGACTGTGCAAGTATACATAGACTGTCTTCATCATTGGGTCAAAATTTCCTCTCCCTAGCTTTGCCCCATATCCCTTTACTCTCATGTATTATAACAGACCTAAGAAATAATACAAATTTACATTGATATACAGATATTACCATATGGAGGATATCCCAAGGCGCTTAATGTTGCTGGCTTGACATCAGAGCAAATTATTATTGTATTATAATTATAATAATGGTTGGTTGGACCTTTCGGCACAGACACGATGGGCCGAATGGCCTCTTCTGTGCTGTATAATTCTATGATTCTTGTCAGGAGTTTGTCTCAAAGCAATTTACAGGATTCACTGCAAAGTGTAGTGACTGCATATGGTTTGTAGGTGAACACTGCAGCCAATTTGTGCACAGCAATCTCCCACAAATAGCCATGAAGTGAATGACAAATTATATTTGGGAGATTTTTAAAATACATTAAAAATATAGAATTTATAATACAATACAATTTCCATTTAAACAGCAGCTTTCCCTTCAGGAAGGCGTTTCAAAATGCTAATGCTGCTGACTGGGCACTGGACGTGGGGTTAGAAGCCCAAGGGGGTGGGGAGGAGAAGGTGACCAAAAACACAGTCAAAGAGGTACGTCTGCAGATGGACCATGAACAAGGTGAGGAAGAAAGCGCGTCAGAGGGATTCCAGGACGGAGTTCAAGAGAGCGAGGGCAGAATGGCTGAAACTCTTGTCTGCTGATGGTGGACAGGGGACATAATGCAGGCCAGTGCTTGCTGAGCGAAGGGAGAAACCCGTTGGTAGGTTAAAGGCGGTCATAGCAGTAAGG